TGTTTAACATATGTAATATTTTATCCCTGTTTTGAACCGTATAGGGCTGAGCCGTTGGAAGCCTAAAGAACAGAGAAGAATATGAAGCAGAATAATGGGTCTTTTGTCAAACTTCACCCAAACAAACAGCAACATCCACACTGCTCTGTGTGACCGCACAATATGCAGCTTCCTTTGCACAGACATGAGAATATAAATGGTGACATGTGACGCCGCACAAATATTTTAACAATATAATGTAGTACTTCTTTTCAATAATGACCCTGTGGTCACATGAATGTGCTGCTGTTGACTGGCCGTGAGTCATTCTATCTCACTGCTGTGATTCCTGCGAACACTTTAATGTCGTCAGGATTTTTTTTTTCTTAAATTGTGACATATATATATAAAAAAAATACGTTGATTATATTTTTCAAATTACACAGGGATTCATTAAAAAAAAATCTGAAATAAAAGTGAAAAAGTCAGAGAAAAGATTTTTACATTTCTATTTATGTGAGCGCTGCAATAGTCTTAGCCCCGCCCCACAATGCTCTGATTGGTTGAGATAAGTGACAACACCAATCCCAAGTTCAACGACCCCTGAATAATAATAATGAAATTATTAAATGTAAAACAAATTGGGTTCATCATATACTTTCAGTCCAACTTCATAAATTACCCCCCCTCCTGCCTCCTCTCCTCACCCCCCACCCTCCACAGAACCCTTACCCTACAAACACAAATGCAGCTTCCAACAAAAACACACAGCAGATGAGGCTGAGGCGACCTGCCTGATATGCAAATGTCAGCGCATGACCAGTGAAGTGGCCACGGGTAATTCAGTTACCAGAAAACAGGAGCGGGTTAGAGAGCACACGGAGGATAAGGCATTGTTCTAAACCCACCAGAGGAGGCCTCGTTGACACGACATGCTAATGTGGAGCGGAGAGACACAAACAGAGGGACGACCAACATCAGAGCAGCTTCATCTGTCTCACTCTCAGATGAAAACCTAACCATACCTTCAGACCATCGTCTTTCAACTGGTTCACTTTATGGTCCTTTAATGTGTAATTTAAGATTAATCATTAACGTAAAAGGTGTGGTAATATACCTTATGTTTATGTGTAAGTGACGCCACGAAAAAGTTTACTGAAGAGTAGGAGCTAATGTTAGCTACAACAGTCCTGGTACAGACACCAGAGCTAACGTTAGGTACAACAGTTCTGGTACAGACACCAGAGCTAACGTTAGCTACAACAGTCCTGGTACAGAGACCAGAGCTAACGTTAGCTACAACAGTCCTGGTACAGAGACCAGAGCTAATGTTAGCTACAACAGTCCTGGTACAGACGCCAGAGCTAACGTTAGCTACAACAGTCCTGGTACAGAGACCAGAGCTAACGTTAGCTACAACAGTCCTGGGACAGACACCAGAGCTAACGTTAGCTACAACAGTCCTGGTACAGACACCAGAGCTAATGTTAGCAACAACAGTCCCGTTAGCTACAAACGCCCCGTTGCAATAACATTGTTTTTAAATGGCCTGAAATGTGACCAATGACAAACAGTTATGGTGTTTTAGACACACAGTACAATAAAGGGTTAACCCAGGCATGTGCAAACGGAGGCCCGGGGGCCGGATGTGGCCTGTTCAGCTTTTTAATCCGGCCGGCCAAACTTATATAATTTATTTATATTATCATTATACTTCTGCCTTTCTGCTGCAATACCCATGTTTCCCCAATAGATGGCGTAGAAAATGATAAAAGCATTTTAGCCTTTTTGCATGACTTCCACATGTCATTAATCTGTATATTTAACCTGTGACACTTACCATGAATTAGTGAGTTTCTCTGGACAGGTCAGACAGAGCAGTCATGGTGTGAGGTAATTGGTTGCTGGACGATAGCAGGCCGGTTGAAGGAGGGACTGTTTGGCAGACGGTCGTAGCACCTGATTGGCTCACACTGGCGGTTTGACTTGATGAGGAGGTCGGTCTTCTTCTTTTCTTCACCACAGACAACAGAAGTCAGTGGTCTCACCATCACTGACCGAGTGGCACAGAAAACCCAGAGAAAGGCTGAGGTGAAGTGGAACACTTCCTCTCCTCGTCCCGTTGCTTCACACACTCCTTTCCTTGCCCTCCGTTGACCCCTGCGCCTCCTTGGATCTTAGAGAAAGGGTCATTGATGGACGCGAGAGCACAGAGAACAGTCACAGCACGACACCTGCAGAAGAAACACAGGT